TTCATCGTAAGACCAGAGAAATTTAGTTTATGCAATGGTATCATCAGGCCCACTTTGACTGGAAGTTTTGCCCCAATAAAAATAAAAATCATTGACTGCCACATTATCACTTCATTACATCATTCACATATTTCTAAACGTGACTACGTATGTCGTTTTGTACACCTTTCGTATTTCCCTTTTTTAGAGGTGCAGCAGTGATCAAATGTAAACTGTGGGAGAATAAAAAACATGGTGCGCATTGATATGGAAGATCAGAGCAATAAATAATTATGATGCAGTTTTGCAGTGTTGGTTTGGTGTGGGTCTGATGCAGAGGAACATGATTTAGTTTTTCCAACAGTTCAGTGGTCTGATGGCAGATTGCTGAACTGTTGGAGACATCACTGGCTCCAGCCATATCATGGTAACAGTGGTCTAACTCTAGGATCATCTGGATGTAGTGACAAAGCTCTCTGTTAACATTTATCCTCTCTATGCTCTCATTTCCAAATGTTCCTGTTAGAAACCTGCTTGGAAAAACATCCTTAAACTCCAGGAGAAATGTGGAGCCAGAGTTATATTTAATGGCTCCTACCTAAATGAGCAACATTCAGGTTTTAGTCTCAATGAAGCCTCTGATGGATTTAGATATGTTTCTTTTTTTACTCAATCAGTCCCCAAATAAACACATTTAAACGCTGTTTTTCTTTGTTTCTTTGGGCTCTGAGGATGTGGCGCCTTTTGTGTCGCTGCTAAACAGATCGGGCGGGAATTTTCAAACCCATGTGAAGCTCCGCCTCCTCCGGTAAACCTTGTGGGCAGCTCAGCCAATCACAGCCAGGGAACGGTACAGCTCAGTTTACACTCAATGTGTTTATAGAGGAGTGTTTGGCTCGCTGCAAATCATTGCTCTCTGCTAAGAGTGAGGAACCATGCCTGAACCCGCCAAGTCTGCGCCCAAGAAGGGCTCCAAGAAAGCCGTGACCAAGACGGCCGGCAAAGGAGGAAAGAAGAGGAGAAAGAGCAGGAAGGAGAGCTACGCCATCTACGTGTACAAGGTGCTGAAGCAGGTCCATCCTGACACCGGCATCTCTTCCAAGGCCATGAGCATCATGAACTCCTTCGTTAGTGACATCTTTGAGCGCATCGCCTCAGAGGCTTCTCGTCTGGCTCACTACAACAAGCGCTCCACCATCACCTCCAGGGAGATCCAGACCGCCGTGCGCCTCCTGCTGCCCGGGGAGCTGGCCAAGCACGCCGTGTCTGAGGGCACCAAGGCTGTCACAAAGTACACCAGCTCCAAGTAAACTGCGCAACCAACATTACAACAACCCAACGGCTCTTTTAAGAGCCACCCACTGCCTCTAGAGAGCTATGATCCTACTTCCTCTATTGTTTTCATCTTTGCTAACCGTTAAACTAATACACACACTAAATGGTGATTGGTGCTTTCCAAAAGTGCACTGATCATACTTCCTGTTGGCAAACTGTCCTACATTCACTTGGGGACATCAGTATCAAACAGGTTGTGAAAACGTCTGTCAGACTAATGCCTGCAGTGAATGGTGAGGGTTTGGGTACAAAGGGTGTGCTATGCACTGGCGGTTCTAGACCAGACATGTACCTGGGGGGCCAGCATGTTTTCATGGGGGCACAGAAAAGCATGAAATAAGAAACGGGCATAGGGATTCAAATATAATAGAATAAAGTGAAATTTCTGTTTGATTAGATTTAACTAAAATAAAGGTCTTATTGGATCAATATACAGAATTTGGGTAGTTTACATATTTTTGACTTAATTTAAGCTTAAAATTAGTTTTCTATAAAATCTGAATTAGAACAAAAAAAATGATAGATTCTTATTATTTAAAAAAAACATTTAGCAGATGAAAACTGGGATCCTTTCTCAATACCACGGAAGCTATCACCTTATTGTTTTTGAATAATTAGTAAAACAGAATTTGTAACCATGTCTGTTCCAGTGCATATCATTGGAGTATTATGTCTTCAGAACAGGGGCCAGGACATGGTCTATGGGGGCACTAGCCCCTGTCTAGAACTGTCTATGGCAGACTGTTTTATCATAAAAATCAACTTCTGACTATCTGTCATTTTTAAGTTGTCAAAATGTTAACTAGGGGAAACTACGTTTTGACTATCCTAATGATGAATTAAGATATCTGAAACTATATTATGACTAGTGAAAATAACACTTAAAGATAACTTCACCCTCTTCTCACTGAGGGTGTCTCTTTTGGGGACTGTCAACCAGTTCCTGAAACAAAGACTGTTGCAGAACAAAATCAACATATCCCTTGTCTTGTGTCCAATTCTAACACATCCAATAGTAAATCTTGCTACTATATTACATAAATGAGGAACATCCTTTTTCATTTAAAATCCTTATACTTATTTTGGACAAATTTCAGATATTTTTCCTAAAGAGCTGCTGTTGTATGAACAACGAATCAAAATCTGTGTGAAATTGCTCTACTAGGCTGGTAACATGACACACTCATTTGTTTTTACATTTTTAAGCCTAATTTTTTTTTTTTTTTTTTTTTTTTTTAAATAGCAAAATTACAGTTTTTCTCAAATAGCTTTTGGTCATGTAAACCTTTCTACTAAACTAGACAGATGAGGTACACCCTGAAATACTATTGAAAGTACAAAAACATAAAGTTCATCCTCTATGTGCTCAGCAGTATTGTAAAACAATACATTCTCCTCCCCTTTCATCCAGTAATTTTCATTTACTTGCTTGTTGAATGAATTTTCTTACCTTGCAAACAAGGAAAACTATATACTCTACTACACTACTATAATTACTAATATACTATAATTTTCCAAAAATACATAAACGTATAACTTAATTAAGCCTAATTTATATAGCATATGCACTTTTTAGATTTCCACCAAAAATGCAACGTGATTTTGACATGATAATTCAAAATATATTAAATACAAAGTCGGTCTCTAGATTAAAAAAGAAAAACAACTAGTTTTTAGATCTTGTGTCTTGAATAACGAGGTAATTTAAGATATCTTTAACCTGATTTATTACTAGTCAGAACATAAGGTGAGATACCTGAAATTGAATTTATGACTAGTCGTAATTCAATTGATATCTGAAATATACCTTTCAGATCGTCACTAATGTTTTGCAGATATCTTAAACTGGAGAACCCAGACAAATGAATAGCAAATCTTGCATTATTTCGACTAGTCAGAATAAAAATACAGATATCTTCATTAACTTATATGTCTAGTCAAAAACCAATTCAAGATATCTTGAACGTAAGTTTGCTAAAGCTGCTTTTATGATAAAAAGGCCTGCCAGAGTAACCCTGCATCGGGGCGTCTGTTTAAATGCACCCATGCTGTTTGTTTGTTAAAGCATCTGGATCTAAAAACAGGATATATTTAAAAAGTCATAATTCTGCCCATCCAGACATCTTGATGTAGAGAATGTTCTGATTGTGTGGATCTATTACATAAAAAGATGGCAAAGGGACATTGCATTTACAAAACTTTAATTTACATACATATAGAAAAAGCAGTTAATACAAAATTGAAGGGATGAAATGCTTAAAAAAAAAAAAAACTTTTAAAAAAAAACAAGTAATACACGTTCAAAGCGTAGGAAATAAAGATATGCATGATCCTGAACATGCGGTCTACCTAAAAGCAAATCTGAATTTTGATATCCGATTCTTCAGAGGTTTTAAAACATGAGCAATTCAAAATAAGAGAATAACCTGGAAACCAATATGATTAACAATGATTTTTTAGAGTTACTCTTAAAAAATGTAAAAAAAAAAATAATAATAATAAACAAAAAATAAAAACTCTTTAGAGAAATTGCAGAAATGTTCTGAGTTCTGTTAGGATACATTTAGTAGATAATCATAGTTAGAGCAATGATCACATTTTCATTTAATGAGTGGAGCGGTCCCCTGTGCTGGTCCTCAGGGCCCAGAGTCATTCATGCTTTTAGAATAGAAAACAGAAAAGAAAATCCCTCTATTGTCCCACATTGGAGACATTCTGGTAGTTTTAGATGCCTCCATAAACATGTTTTCTTCATCTGGTCTCCAGTCCAATTTATGTTTAAACAATGAGTAAGAGCTTTCTGATAGTTACCACATGGTGAAAGCAGGTGATAATATTCAAACCCATTGTTTCTATCCCAGGGAGTCACCCAGAGAATGGCTATTACAGAAGTTAAAAATTCAAAAAATGAATAAATAAGTTAATTAAATAGAAATATGTTTATTGATATTGAATGTGTCACAGAAACTGAGCTAAAATCCCAGTAATCTATGGCAGTAAACCAGTGACAGGTTGCAAACTGTCACTGGTTTAGCTCCACATGAATCTGCCTCAGACTAACTGTGTAAAGGAAGCGCAGACTGACAAAGCGCTGAGAAAACTTTATCCAGACAACAATGTTTAGTTCAAGCACAACTATCATTTAGAAGTGAAGTTTTCTTCCTATCAGGAGTTTAAAGCAGAAAGGTTGACTTTGATCAACGTTGTTAGGAAGTGTGGCTGCGTCACCAGCCTCCATCTTCAGTGTGTTTGCTGCTGCTACTATATCTTCATTTTAGGACTAAATGATGCTCAGCAGATTGTTGCTTTTGTTCCCAATCTTTCCATGAACTTGTTAGGAAGCCTCCAGACCGTGTTTGGTGTGGATGAAAGGTTTAGAGGAGGAGAAAGGAGGAAAAACCCAGAGATGATCAGCCTGTTCCGCTGTGAATCGGTGCAGTTTAGGAGCTCCAGTAACAAAGTGCGGAGAGCCTGAGAGATGTTCATGAGCTGAACATGAAGAGAAACAAGTCCGCTATGGAGGCATTCCACTGTCAGCCTGTAGAGCCGAGAAAACACAGAGTTTTCACCTGTTTTATGCTGCCGAGAAAACACAAACACAAGCCGTCCATGTTGGAGAGAGGAGCCCAGAGCGGGCTGAGTCTCTACGGTTCTCACGGTGTGTTTAAGAGCAGCCTGCTGCTCAGGATTTCTCATTCACCATCTGATTGAGGTCGAAGAGCAAACAGACAGAAACAAGAAGAAAATGGCAGAAGTGGCTCCAGCTCCCGCCGCGACTCCGGCCAAAGCGGCCAAGAAGAAGGCGTCCAAGCCGAAGAAGAGCGGCCCCAGCGTCAGCGAGCTGATCGTCAAGGCCGTGGCCGCCTCTAAGGAGCGGAACGGCGTGTCTGCTGCCGCCCTGAAGAAGACTCTGGCTGCCGGAGGATACGATGTGGATAAGAACAAAGCCCGCGTTAAGATTGCCATCAGAAGCCTGGTCACCAAAGGCACCCTGCTCCAAACTAAGGGAACCGGAGCCTCTGGCTCCTTCAAGATGAGCAAGAAGGTGGAGAGCAAGGCCAAGAAGCCCGCTAAGAAAGCAGCCGCTCCTAAAGCCAAGAAGCCCGCTGCCGCCGCTAAGAAGCCCGCCGCAGCGGCCAAGAAGCCCAAGAAAGCGGCAGCAGCTAAGAAGCCTGCAGCCGCCAACAAGTCCCCTAAGAAGGCCAAGAAGCCTGCAGCGCTCAAGAAGGCAGCCAAGAGCCCCAAGAAGGCAGCAAAGAGCCCCAAGAAGGTCACCAAGAAGGCTCCTGCAGCCAAAAAGTCTCCCGCTAAGAAGGCAGCCAAGCCTAAAGTCAAGAAGGCAGCAGCAGCCAAGAAGAAGTGAGCTCCATCCTGCACACATCAACAGCCCCACAAAGGCTCTTTTAAGAGCCAACACCTCGTTCTTTAAGAGCTTATTCTGCCTTATCACTAAATGCACATCAGCTTTTATCTCCAGGAACAACAGGAGCCTAACCAGATAGTGAGCCCACAACAGCTCTGATTACACTTCTTCTACAAGTTGAGTCATTATAAGGATATGATGGAATCAGTTTATCTATTTTTCCATTTAATAACATATTCCCAGCAATTTAATCTGTTTATCTAGCCCATATCCAGATTTTGATATTCATGTTTAACTTTATTTTTTTATTTGCACTAAGTGTAGCTACAGAGTAATTATCTTTTTACCCTACTAAATCAACATACAGCTTTGTTTAAGCAACACATTACAAGAGTACTACTAATAATTATACTAGTAATAATACAGTAATACTAAGATATTTGTGTTATGCAAAAAAAAAAAAAAAAAAATTAAGGAAATGTTCTACAAAGATTGAAACTTAAGGCAGTCTCAATTTGCACACAAGGATATGATGTCATTCTAAAAATCAAAGCACAAAAAAAATTCATGCTTTCCACAAAAAGAAAACTTACAAATTTAGGAACATCTACAGGGGATTGTTATTATAAATACAGAAGAGGATTAGGGCCACTGAAAAAAAGTTTAAATTTAATTTTTATTTCAGTGTAATATGGGGGGTCAGAATTCTGATATTAAATTTAGAATTCTGACTTTAATACCAGAATTATCACAGAATTCTGACAGCTAACAAACATGTTAGCATAAAGCTGTAGCCATGTCTGTTTTAGAGACTAGCTCTCTGGTTTTAATCACCTTCTGCTCTTCCATTAATGAAACAGCATTATACCAGGAACCCCTCTGGCACATAAAAAGTCGCCTAATTCTGTCATTTTCCACCAATGTGTCACTGTTCCTCCCAAACAACTTCATCTTTGTCAGTGAAGCTGTTTGCTCCACATCTCCTCCTTCATGGTTCCCATCTACATTGAAAGCCAAAACACTGCATGAAAAGTGGGATTTTCGTCAATATACGGCACTGTAGATTGTCGTGGAACTTCAGGTTAGCGGCAGTATACGTCAATTTGCAGGCTTCGACGAAAACTCCCGTAAATTGTCAGAAATTGACGTGGAATTTCTTAGGCAGTGTTCCCCCCATGCCTCCCCCCCATGGAATTCTAGGGGAGGCTTTAACATGTAAATGAACATGCTGTGAGCTATACAAATGCAAACCAGGGTTGCAGGGGGGGTTTTACCCCCCCCTGCAACCCTGGGTAAGAAAATCTCTGATACAAAGAGATCAGGTATAGCCTCTTACATTTTAGCTTGAATTGATTTATTTAATTAAAGTATAGAGACCAAAACAGATCTTTAGCTGACAGAGCAATACATTTAGAGCAGTAATTATTTTTTTTTTAATTTGCATTTAAGATAAAAAATAAAATGTTGTCTGTCAATATGCTCAATTCACAATTACTTAAGTGGAAAAGTTTCAAGAAATGATTCTGAGATGATTCACTTTATAACATGGCGCATTATCCTGTTGGAAGTAGCCATCAGAAGATTGGTACACTGTGGCCATAAGGACATAGGTCAGCATGCTAAATTGGTATTAAGTGGCCCAAAGTGTGGCAATAAATATCCCCCAAATAGATGGTAGAAATAGATCAGGCTCAGTATAGCCTAATTATAGACTCTTACATTTTAGCTTGAATTGATTTATTTAATTAAAGTACGCTAGATTACTGTGTATGCAAATGTTATGTAAAAAAAATACACAAAATAATTTACTTCAAAAATTAGTTTTAATCAGAATCAGTTGGCTGTAATGGTTAATTTTTTTTTTTAGATTTCCACTTTTTTTTTTTTTTGTTATTGAATATATAAGAAAACAATAACAATCTCAAATAACAAGTCAATAACAAATATTTCAATACAAGAAGAAATATCACAACTCCTGCTTTTGAAAAATAAAATTAAATGCACAGGCTGGAACAAAGTATAAAATAAAATAAAATAAATAAAAATAAATAAAATAATAATAGTAGTTAAAGTAAATTAATCAGTGGGGACTACCAACTGAAATTCTTCAATTAACTCAAACAATTTAATTGCATTTAAATTCTGCATCTTTCTCAGACATCTTTTGAAAAGGGAAAGTTCATTTTTGAGAGCAGAGATTGAGAGGGAGCATTTTGCATAGCGACATTTATGGATATAATACTTTGTTACAATTATTAGAATATTGATTAAAAATTCCAAATTTTTTTTTCTTTAATGGATAAACCGAATTGAATGTTTTGCCGGGAAATAAAATCTAAATTTATTGTTTTAGTTTTTGGGAATATATACAAACTATGCTCTAATTTCTAGATACCGATCTGTTTTTGCTATAATTAAATTTGACAAACCGGGTCTTCTCTACATTCTTTTTTCTGTTTGGTGCGATTGCAATAGCGGGTCTTGATCTGGACGGACCGGAGGGGAGCAAAAAATAGCTCAGCTCCGTATTTTGACGGTGAAGGACGGAGAAGACTGTCACATCAGCTGCTGTGACCCTCACACCTGCAGGTCATTCCCTAATCAGCAGTGGACTCAATATAAGGACGGAGCCTCCACCTGCTCGCCGTCAGATTGTTGTCTAACCCCTAGTGGTAAACACTCTCAGGCCATCTGTCTGCTCAAGTCTAGTTTGACTAAGCCAAGTTTGTTCCCTCTCCTAAACCTGCCTGTTTTCTTCCCCCAGTGTCTCGTCTGATTATCTGGACCCTCATCCTCGCTTGTTATCTTGGACCCCCTGGTGACGACCTCCTGCCTGCCCGACCACCGATTCAAGGATTGCCCCCAAACTCTGACTGGTTTCACGGATCTGACCCTTGCCTGTCTGACCAAGAGTAAAATAAACCTCCTAACTGTGCCAACTGCTCTGTCTGTCCATCTGTGCCTGTAGAGCGTGACAGTACAATCTGACGGACAACATGGACCCGGCTGAGCAGCTGTCTGCCCCCACCTCAGAAGTCCAATCCCTGAGGGATCTCATATCACGGCAAGGGAGAGCTTTGGGACAGAGCGAGCACAGGCTTACTGGACTGGAGACAGCAAGCCAGACCATTCACATGGAGCTCGCACAGTTGACGGCACAAGTAGCACACCTCACATCTTTGCTTACCTCTGTTGCAGCTCCACAACCGCCTCTAGTCCCCCAGGCTCCAGCATCCGAGGTTCCTCAGCCACAACCGGCTTCTCCTTCGGTTTTTTCCCAAGCCGCAGCCCCATCTGTGAACCACAGCGGAGCGTATGTTCCTGATCCACCTCCTTTTTCTGGTGAGCTCTCCAAATGCCGAGGCTTCCTGCTACAGTGCCAGGTGGTCTTCAGCCAGCAACCCTCGGCTTTTGCTTCTGACCTTTCAAGAATATATTATGTTATGGGTTTGCTGCGGGAACAGGCTCTAGCATGGGCGCTTGCTTTCTCTTCCTCCAACCCTCTAACATCTCTCACCTTTGCTCAGTTCTCCTCCGAATTAAGCCGAGTGTTTGATCATCCTGACCATGCTGGAGATGCATCTAGGCGCCTATTAAAGCTCCGCCAAGGTCCCCGAAGTGCTGCAGAGTTTTCTGTGGATTTCCGCACCGTGGCAGCCGAGTCCGGATGGAACAACAGATCTCTTAGAGGAGTATATTATAATGCCCTAAATGAAGCCTTAAAGGATGAACTCTCCCTCAAGGAAGAAGCAGCCGATCTTAACTCTCTAATCACCCTGTCAATCCGACTAGACAACAGGCAGCGTGAGCGACGCAGAGAACGGAGCGGGCGACTTCCTGTTTCTCGGTCTGTCCAACCAGTCATTGGGGCCCACAGCGCCCCCTCTGTCACTTCCCCAGAACTGCCGCCTACCCCTGAGCCTTCTGGTGGAGAACCAATGCAGATTGGAGGCACACGTCTGTCAGCTGCAGAAAGACTGAGGCGACTCCAATCTGGAGACTGTTTCTATTGTGGCAAGCCTGGCCACAGAGTAACCAGCTGTCCTCAGCGGCCAAAAGACAGCGCTCATTAGAAGTGGGGAGTCTAATGAGCAATAATGAGTTCCCCCAATCTTCTAATCGTCTTCAGGTAAAAGTTAAACTGTGTCTTGACTCCTCTTCCCATTCTCTAGCTGCCTTGATAGACTCTGGGGCAGAAGACAGTTTTATTGATGCTGAATTGGCAAAGCGGCTGAATATTCCCATTGAACCTGTTAGTCCGCCATTGTCAGCAAAAGGTTTAAATGGCAAACTATTGTTTTGTGTTTCCCACCAAACAGTCCCAGTTTTGACAGTAACCTCGGGTAATCACAGGGAGTTAATCCAATTTAAGATTATTCCCAACTCCAGTTTTAGTATTGTGTTGGGACACCCCTGGCTGGTTCTCCATAACCCTCATATAGATTGGTCTATGGGGAGGATAGTTAGTTGGAGTTCGTTTTGTTCAGGCAATTGCCTTCGCTCTGCCCTACCCAACTCTGACACCAAAGACGAGGTTGTAGAAACCCCGGATTTGTCACAGGTTCCTTCTGAATATCACAATCTAGCAGATGTTTTTAGTAAGACCCAAGCCCAGACACTGCCCCCACATAGACCATATGATTGCTCCATTGACCTTCTCCCAGATGCCCCACTCCCTTCCAGTCGCCTGTACCATCTCTCTAAACAGGAACTAGGGGCTCTGGAGAGTTACATAAATGATTCCCTGGCGGCTGGTCTTATTCGCCGCTCTTCATCCCCTTTAGGGGCAGGGTTCTTCTTTGTAGGCAAAAAGGATGGTACCTTACGTCCTTGTATTGATTATCGGGCCCTGAATGAAATTACCATTAAAAACAAGTATCCGTTACCCCTCATGTCTTCAGCATTTGAACTGCTTCACGGTGCAACTATCTTTTCTAAACTAGATTTGCGTAATGCATATTATTTGGTGCGCATCCGTGATGGGGATGAATGGAAAACTGCTTTTAAGACTCCTGTAGGCCATTTTGATTATTTGGTGATGCCGTTTGGTCTAACTAATGCCCCAGCAGTTTTTCAGGCTCTAGTGAATGACGTCCTCAGGGACTTCCTGAACCATTTTGTGTTTGTCTACCTAGACGACATATTAATCTTCTCCAAGACCAAGGAGGAGCATGTCAGTCATGTTAGGCAAGTTCTCCAACGACTGCTGGAGAACAAACTATTTGTCAAGGCAGAGAAATGTGACTTTCATTGTTCAACCGTGCATTTCCTGGGTTTTATTATTGGAGAGGGACAGATTAGATCAGACCCAGCTAAGACAAAAGCAGTGGTGGAGTGGCCAGAACCCAAGACCCGTAAACATCTCCAGCGTTTCCTGGGTTTTGCCAATTTTTACCGTAAGTTTATCAAGGACTACAGTCTAGTGGTCCAACCACTGACCAAACTCACATCCACCAATCAACCATTTGTGTGGTCACCAGAAGCAGCTGCTGCTTTCAATGCATTAAAACAGTTGTTCGCCTCCCCACCAGTTCTTATCCAACCAGATCCTTGTAAACAGTTTGTAGTGGAGGTGGATGCTTCTGAGACTGGGGTGGGAGCAGTTCTGTCCCAGTATGGCAATCCTGCAAAACAGTTGTTGCCCTGTGCTTTCTTTTCAAGGCGATTAACAGAGGCCGAACAAAATTACAGTGTGGGAGACCGTGAGCTGTTAGCTGTTAAACTGGCCCTGGAGGAATGGCGCCATTGGCTGGAGGGTTCCTCCCAACCTTTTTTAGTCTGGACAGACCACAAGAATCTGTCTTATATACAGACTGCTAAAAGGTTAACACCCCGTCATGCCCGTTGGTCCTTGTTTTTCTCCCGCTTCAACTTTATTCTAACCTACAGACCAGGCTCCAAAAACGCCAAACCTGATGCATTGTCTCGTCAGTTCGACCCCAATTTACCCAAAGAGGAACCTGAGACCATTCTGCCAACCTCTATTGTGGTGGCTAACCTCTCCTGGGAGATCGAACAGTTAGTGAGACAGGCCCAACAAGAACAGCCCACTCCCAGCAACTGTCCCACTGACCGCCTGTTTGTTCCCGAAGGGGTTAGGTCTGAGGTTTTGCAATGGTCCCACTCCTCCAAGTTTGCCTGCCACCCTGGGGTACAAAGAACCATCTCCCTCTTAAAGAGGCACTTTTGGTGGCCGTCAATGGTTCAGGACACCAGTAAATTTGTCTCTTCCTGTACAGTCTGTAATCGTGGGAAGTCCAGCAACCAGCCACCCTCCGGTTACCTTCAGCCGCTTCCAACCCCAAGCAGACCCTGGTCCCACATCTCATTGGACTTTGTTACTGGTCTCCCTCTCTCCCAAGGTAATGCAGTCATTCTAACCATAGTAGATCGCTTCTCTAAGGCTGCACATTTTGTCCCCCTTCCCAAGCTGCCCACTGCTGCAGAGACTGCCGACCTCCTTGTTCTCCATGTGGTCCGGCTCCATGGCATCCCTCTAGACGTAGTTTCGGACCGAGGACCACAATTCACCTCCAGGGTGTGGCGAGCCTTCTGCCAGGCTCTAGGAGCCACAGTTAGCCTGTCTTCTGGTTTCCACCCTCAAACCAATGGTCAGACGGAAAGGGTGAACCAAGACCTTGAAGCTGCCCTCCGTTGTATCATCTTGGACAAACCAACTTCCTGGTCCCAATACTTACCATGGGTAGAATATGCCCACAATTCACTTACCAGCTCAGCTACAGGTATGTCCCCGTTTGAAGCTTCACTGGGTTATCAACCCCCTCTTTTTTCCCTCTCAGGAGCGGGAACTCGCTGTCCCTTCAGTTCAGCATCACCTTCGAAGGTGTCACAGGGTTTGGCGAAGAACTCGAGCAGCACTCTCCAGAACTGCAGAAAGAAACCGCCGTCTCGCCGACCGTCACAGACACCCAGCCCCCAACTATCAACCTGGACAGGAGGTCTGGTTGTCCACCAGGAACTTGCCACTGAAAGACACTTCGAAGAAACTCTCGCCCAGGTTTGTTGGACCCTTCACTATTGACCGAATCATAAACCCTGTTACTGTTCGCCTTAACCTCCCCAGGACAATGAGGATCCACCCATCCTTTCATGTTTCCCAAGTGAAACCTGTCCTGTCCAGTCCCTTGTCTCCTCCTGTTCCGCAACCCCCACCCCCCAGGATCATTGATGATGCCCCTGCATACACAGTGCGGCGGCTGCTGGATGTTCGCCGCCGTGGACGTGGTTTCCAATACTTGGTAGACTGGGAGGGTTACGGCCCGGAGGAACGCAGCTGGGAACCACGTTCTGCCATCTTAGATCCTCAGCTCATCCGGGACTTCCACAAGAGGACAAGACGCCACCGGGCGCCTTGGAGGAGAGGACCTGTCACATCAGCTGCTGTGACCCTCACACCTGCAGGTCATTCCCTAATCAGCAGTGGACTCAATATAAGGACGGAGCCTCCACCTGCTCGCCGTCAGATTGTTGTCTAACCCCTAGTGGTAAACACTCTCAGGCCATCTGTCTGCTCAAGTCTAGTTTGACTAAGCCAAGTTTGTTCCCTCTCCTAAACCTGCCTGTTTTCTTCCCCCAGTGTCTCGTCTGATTATCTGGACCCTCATCCTCGCTTGTTATCTTGGACCCCCTGGTGACGACCTCCTGCCTGCCCGACCACAGATTCAAGGATTGCCCCCAAACTCTGACTGGTTTCACGGATCTGACCCTTGCCTGTCTGACCAAGAGTAAAATAAACCTCCTAACTGTGCCAACTGCTCTGTCTGTCCATCTGTGCCTGTAGAGCGTGACAAAGACGTACGTGGGCGGTGACGAGCGGAGGATGTGGAACAGCTCTCATTGATTTACATGACAGACAAGTAATACAGATAGTAGGATGGACATTTTATTAGAAATAAATCATACACTGTTCAGAATACGAAACATGGGGCTGATAGTTACATTTGTGTGGGTTCCAGTCAGTGATGGGACTAACGGCGTTGAAAGTAACGGCGTTACTAACGCCGTTACCTTGTTTTAGTAACGAGTAATCTAACTAATTACTTTGACTGTAACTATAACGCAGTTACCATTGCAGGCACCCCGTTACTGCGCGTTACTCAGGTCGCACAATGAACCTTTTTTCATGATAGGACTCGTGCGCAGCTGCGTGAAGCTGACACCCCACCCACGTCAAAAAACTCTGCAAATAGACTGAATGGTTAGTGCAACGTTAGTGCAGATTTGTGCAGAAAAAAATATTGTTTGTGCTACTTTTGTTTAAGAGATATTAAAGATTTATTTTAGGTCATCCAGAGGTGCGCGCCTTGTCCTGAGAGGGGAGGATGAGAATGGCTGATGAATAGTGAGATTCCGTCTGTCAGTTGAATAGGTGGGTGTTTCTGCTGGCGGGTGTTAACGTACAGCACACACAGAGAGATGGAGAGTGAGGATGACTCCAGCAGCAAAACAGCGTTTTCCACATGGAAATACCGGTGTTACGTAGAGCTGCGTTTCCCCATCACATAACGGTTTCCTCTGCATCTCCACACAGCGCAGGCGGCAAGAGTCACCGCGCAAGCGACAGGAAACGAGCATGCTCGCTAAAGGCGCGCAACAGTCGCCCTGTGCTCGCGCCACAGGAGAACTATGGAGAGCGTGAACGATCAAATGAACCTGACAACAGCCAGAAATGATAGCCTATATGGAGAAAGGGAGAAATCTGGATGGATGGTTGGATGGATGGATGAATGGATGGATGGATGGATGGATGGATGGATGGATGGATGGATGGATGGATACTCTGCCTTCTCAACCTACTGTTTTTTTTTATTTTAAACATTATTTGATGGCCTTTGTGGCAGGGATGGAGATCCATATTTTATGTCACACACAGAGTATACATCTAGATAGATAGATAGATAGATAGATAGATAGATAGATAGATAGATAGATAGATAGATAGATAGATAGATAGATAGATAGATAGATAGATAGATAGATAGATGTTGCAGTATCTATAACAACCCAAACACACAGGATTTCAGAATTAGACATCCCCAGTTATTAATTTCATATACTCACCAGATCTGAATGTCCTGTTATAAAACTTCACATGGCGTTCCCCCCTGATGTCATTTACGTTGAGTTGCAATAAATGCTAAACTCTCTGCAAGTTCTTGTCTTTGTCGTCCGCTCTATTCAGCTGGCTTTGGAAACACACGGCGAGAAGGTGGGGGCTGGGTGGTGAGGTTTACGGGGGCGAGAAACTCAAAAGTAACGCAATAGTTACTTTTACTAGTAACTAGTTACTTTTATTGTGGAGTAACTCAGTTAGTAACTCAGTTACTTTTTGGGAGAAGTAACTAGTAACTATAACTAATTACTTTTTCAAAGTAACGTGCCCAACACTGGTTCCAGCACATATTGGGGTGGAAGGAAACGAGAGGGCAGATAAAATGGCAAAAAGGGCAATTAAACATTCTATTAGTTTTATAGTTAAAATAAGTAAATCAGAAGGAAAGAGTATTATTAAAGAGAAACTTATGGAAATTTGGCAAAAAAGGTGGGATGAAGATAAAACAGGAAGATGGTTTTATAAAATTCAGAAGATGGTAGGAGAAAGAAGAAATGGAAGAAGAAATAGAAAGGATGAAAGAGTGATAACAAGGTTAAGATTTAATTAATAATTTATTTAATAATATTTAATCATACACTTTTTAAAATACAAAAACATAAAACGGGCAAATGTGATTTCTGTGATAAATATGAAACCATAGAACATGTTATATTAGAATGTCATAAATATGAAAAAGAGAGAAGATATATGAGAAGAGAGTTTGAAGACATTAAGGAGAAGGTTAATTTATTAGATATACTGAGGAAAAATTTAGGGAGTAAACACATACAAATAATTATTCGATTTCTAAAGAAAACGAAATTATTCCATAGAATTTAATTATAGTAAGTGTGTTTGTGAGTGAAGGAATGATATACAAAGCTGTGCACAAATATGTTTATATTTTTAAGTGTGAATGTGTGAATGTATGTTTAGAAGAAGTTAGGGTAGAATGTATCAGGATCAATATTTAAACCATCACGAACCACACTCCATACCAGTAAGTGGCGGTAATGCTACTAACAGTTTGTTGCCAACCGCCATAAAACTCGACAAGAAGAAGAAGAAGAAGACAGACAAGTACTCCGTACGTGAGCGGGGCGGAGCGCTGACGGAGTATGTGGAATCTGGGGGTAAAGGAGGACAAATACACGTCCGGCTGGGTGCAGCGCCGGACGCCGGACAGTGCAATGAAAATCCGGACTGTCCGCCCTAAAGCCGGACATCTGGCCACCCTATCTGCAGTCGAGCAACTTTGCGGGACTCGAGGAAGAGAAGACGGGTGCACAACGCCACGCTAGCGGTAAATATATGATTACTGGTAGCTATGCTAAAAGCAGCCTAGCTTAGCTAGGCAAGCTAAAGACAGCCTAGCCTAGCTAGGTAAGCTAAAAGCAGCCTAGCCTAAAGCTTTACTAAAGTGTATTTTTTGTGATTCACAGGAAGCATTATGCCGTCTTAACAACTCGGAGACTAATTGCAGGCGCTATGAACCGGCAGGGGTAAGGTTTAAAGAATATGCTTTCATTCTGCGGTAAAAGGACATGGATACGGATGGATACCGATCATAGCTTTACTTTTTTTTTTCCACAGACTACAGTCGCCTCACAATGAGGCGGTGACCTCCTATTTGCTCGGATTTGCACGATGTTGATAAAGACGACATTGTGTGTAAGTGACTTGTTTTAATGTTTTCTCCTTCCTTGTTACTGTAACTTGCGTTTTATTTTTTTTTTTTTTTTTTATTCATACCACTCTCATTTAATTGTTTTCCAGCTGCCTGTAAGACGTATTATGAGACGGTATGCAGGAGCTTCAGATACACGCTGCTAGCCAGCACGCTGCGTGCGGAGGCCGCCAGGTTATCTGCTCGGAGCCGGGCCAGACGAAAGAGGGTAAGACTTTATTTGGTGACTATTTTTCGGGTGCATTGATAGATGTGTTGTGTCCATATGCAGTGCGCTGATTCATGTTTTTTTTTTTTCAGCTGCTGAAGGCGAGGCAGAGTGTGCTGGCAGATGAGGAAGTGGAACTCTGTAAGTCCGCCACCGTCGACCTCGTGTCCGACGAAGAAGATGGCGTCGTCGGCGGTGTCTCTGGATGGATTGTACGGTCGTCGCCATTTCGTAGGCCGGATCTCACTGAACTCTGTGTTAAGCTGCAGTCCCGGTTAGAAGCGATGTCGAAGTACAAGGCCACGCACAGTAGGCGTCTGCACATCGGACCTGCCTCGGAGGGAATGCTGCCTGTTACCTCCAACCCCGAGGAAGCAAACGGACCGTTCACGGAGTTGTAATTTTTAGATACGCATGTGTTTGGATACGCGTTGTATATAGTTGTGTGTGTTTTAATAAAGCTCTTTCTTTGCATAAACAGCTTCCTGGCAAATCTTCATTTCCTGTATAAATTCATTCATGTCCTTGATGGTAGCATAATAATTGTGTAGTAGTGTAGGATAACATAAATACACAGCATATGAATGAATAAATATATGAATGAATAAATATATGAATATATATATATATGAATGAATAAATATATATATCTGAATAAATATATATATGTAAATATATATATGCCAACCAATCACGAGTGACTTCACTTGTTTAAAAAGAAGTGGTTCCGTCCAATACTCAGTAAGAAAATTAAAGCCTGGCGTGGCCACGTGTGGTTTTGCTGCCAATCACGAGCGATTTCATTTGTTTGAGAATAGTGGTTTCAGCCAATACTGAGAAGGTTATTCAAGCCAGACCTGGCCAGCCGCGCGGGTTTGCTGCATTCATATGCTAATTAGGGCCATTAGTACAGCTGATCGCTCTCCACCTACGTCACTGTCCGTTTCCGACAATTTGTGGCACGACAAACGCGGACAAGCACGGGTTGCAAATTGTCGGAAACTGACGAAAATCAGGCAGATCTGCGGGAGTTTACGGGAGTTTACGGGGACGAAAATCTCACTTTTCATGCAGTGAAATTCTGAGATTCAAGTCAGCATTCTTAGAAAAAGTCAGAATTCTGAGATCAAAGTCAGAATTTTCATTTTTTTCATATTAAACTAAAAATCTATATATATATATATGTATATATATATATATATATATATATATATATATATATATATATATATATATATATATATATATATATATATATATATATATGTGCTGTATTGTTTCAGGGGCATCTTTGCACAGTCTGCATCGGGGGTCCTGCCTGGTGTGGTAGACCCTGGCCTCTATTGATCTTGTACTGAGTGCCTGTTCTTGTGCTGCCATGATTAGTGCCTCTGTGCTGTCCTTCAGTCCAGCCTTTTCCAGCCACTGGTAGGATTTTTTGATGTCAGCCACTTCTTCTATTTGTCTGTGGTATACGCCGTGCAGCGGCTTGTCCCTCCATGATGGTTCTCCTTCCTCTTTCTTGTCCTCACTTTCGGTTTTCTCCTGCCTGAGGTGCTCACCCAGCCATTTGTCTTTGGGGGCCATCTTTCTGATGTACTCCTGGATCTTAGTTGTTTCATCCTGGACAGTGGTCCAGGATGAAAAATCTGTGAATTGTGGACAGTGTTTCAGTGCCCCTGAAACAATACAGCACATAACAGCGGGGTGTAAAATGCAGGCAGGAAGTGCATACATGGAACGCCACAACCAGGTAGCTGTCATAGTGTACAGGAACATCTGCCATGAGTATGGGCTGGAAGTCCCAAGGTCAAAATGGAAGACACCTCCTAAGGTAGTTGAGAATGACCGAGCTAAGATCCTATGGGACTTCAAGATCCAGACTGACAAACAGGTGATGGCTAACCAACCAGACATCGTGTTGATCGACAAACAGCAGAAGAAGGCAGTAGTGATAGATGTGGCAATCCCAAGCGACAGCAACATCAAGAAGAAAGAACACGAGAAGCTTGAGAAATACCAAGGACTGAAGGAGGAGCTAGAAAAAATGTGGAAAGTAAGAGCAGCAGTGGTGCCAGTGGTAATTGGAGCACTGGGGGCTGTGACCCCCAAACTGGGAGAGTGGCTACAGCAGATTCCAGGTAAAACATCAGAGGTCTCTGTCCAGAAGAGCGCAGTCCTAGGAACAGCTAAGATACTGCGCAGAACCCTCAAACTCCCAGGCCTCTGGTAGAGGACCCGAGCTTGAGGATGACACATACCACCCCACGAGGGGTGAGAAAACAGTTTATATATATATATATATATATATATATATATATATATATATATATATATATATATATATATATATATATATATATAAATATAAATTTGCGCTCCCTCAGCATGCGTGGGTTCTCTCCGGGTACTCCAGCCCCTACAAAACACAGAGAGGAAAACAGCAAGAAAAGGGACAAGAACAGAGGGACAAAACGTAGAACAAATAATTTATGTCTAAAATTTTAAAATCTGTATCTGTATAATGGGTCTGTCTTAGGCTACGTTCACACTGCAGGCCTTCATGCTCAATTCCGATTTTTTGGTGAAATCTGATTTTTTTTGCGTGTCCGTTCACACTTCCAAGTATATGCGACTTGTATGTGATCTACTGTGTGAACTGAAAGCGTTCAACCGAAGTGTCCCGCATGCGCACTCGAGGACGCGATGACGTCACATGTAGCAAGCGTCCTCAGTGTTTGCGGAAGTAAACATGACTCGTAATACCGCAGCGTATATTGCGTTCTTTAAGTTATTCTCCAACAGGAGCAGGCACATTACGAAAGAAATCTTTTTAAGAAGATCAAAAAAGAAAGACCCTCCCCCGGTTCCGGTAAGACCCTTCGAGTTTGGTCTGAATCGAGCTATCTTTCCAAATATGAATTAAGTCAGCAACCTCACTTTCTCTCCATTGACTGCTTTCTGTGTTATCTTCCGCCATGGTTGTTAGTTTTTCCCGCCTCCGCTTAGTAGGACGCAGATTAGTAACGTTTAGTAACATTTGTCAAGTATCAATAACGTGTAGGTCGGATGAATGCGACCTGGCCGTACAGACACAGGTCGCATTTGAAAAGATCAGATACGTATCGGATTCAGCACCACATATCCAAGTGGCCTGGGTCGCATTTGAAAAAATCCGATCTGTGTCGTTCAGACTGTCATAAAAAGATCAGATACAGGTCACATATGGGCAAAAAAATCGGAATTGGGTCACTTCAGGCTGCAGTGTGAACGTAGCCTTATGTGTTGTCTGCTCAATTCACAGGGCCCCCTGCCTGACTTTGCCTAACTATTTGTTTATTTATTTATATATCCATACATACATCCATCAATCAATTTTCTAGCATTTGAGGGAGTATTTGATCAATTATCACTTTATCTTTTTTTCCCCCTTGGATTATTTCATGATCCTATTGCTAACTAGTGGCTCTCCAATCGGCAGCCATGACTGAGCAGCAGCTCTGAGCTCCAGGCGGAGCTGACTCTTCCCTATTATTTTATTCTTGTACATTTTTTCTAAGGTCCACATTTGTGTGACCATTTTCAATAATCTTTCTGCAGCAGTCTTACTGAACATTATCTAAACTTTACAGAATTATTATAAAATGCACATAAATAAACATTTAAAAAAATAAATAATTATTAAATAAAGTTGAAGATTATAATGGTCAATAAATACATAAGGTAATTATTACAAAGGTGAATAAATAAAGAAGCTAATTTATAAAAGTATTATATATATATATATTTAAACTTGGTAGAGCTGGTCCTCCATAGAAACTTTCCCCTTTATTCGTTTAAATGAATCATTAAGGGCGATTTTTGGATATTGTTAAATCAATCATTTAAGATTCTTCCCCACATTTCCGCCTTTCCCACATTTGTCTTAGTCCGTTAGTCATTTCGCGCCTTCTTTTAAAATTTCTGACTTAACCAATCGCTGAGTTAAGATGGTGGTACCACGTGCTCAATTTGGTCCAATCAGCAGCCTTCTCCCGTCACAGGACTATTTATAAAGCCGCATTTTTCCTCAGACCTTCATTCGCATAGTGTGAAGCAAACATTTCGTGATGGCAAGAACCAAGCAGACCGCCCGCAAATCCACCGGAGGAAAGGCTCCCAGGAAGCAGCTGGCTACCAAGGCTGCCCGGAAGAGCGCCCCGGCTACCGGCGGCGTCAAGAAGCCTCACCGTTACAGGCCCGGTACCGTGGCTCTCCGAGAGATCCGCCGCTACCAGAAATCCACCGAGCTGCTTATCCGCAAGCTGCCCTTCCAGCGCCTGGTCCGGGAGATCGCTCAGGACTTTAAGACCGACCTGCGCTTCCAGAGCTCCGCCGTCATGGCTCTGCAGGAGGCCAGCGAGGCTTACCTGGTCGGTCTCTTCGAGGACACCAACCTGTGCGCCATCCACGCCAAGAGGGTCACCATCATGCCCAAAGACATCCAGCTGGCCCGCCGCATCCGCGGAGAGAGAGCTTAGATTACGGCTCCAGCTGCTCCAACAAAACAACGGCTCTTTTAAGAGCCAACTAACTACTCTAGAGCAAAATCCACTGAATTATAAATTAATAACTTATCTGGACGTAAACAAAATAAATGGTTACTAATTTCAATATACTTATCGGGGTTAGAAGTGATGGTGTATTCTGTTCAGGTGAATACATGTTGCCCCTCATACTATTATACTATTTCTATACAGAAACCTTTATAGATTTGTGTGTACAAATACCCCTCTCTTTTTGGTTATTAACACAATTATAAATTGTCTAATAGGAAAAGCAATATGTGAATTGTGGAAAACAGTTTCACTGGTCCACTGTCTGGCATTTGAAATACACAAACACACGTTTATGGCAAGCTATTTTATCATAAAAGCTACGTCTCCCGAATATACGTATTTTTTTTAAGATGTCAAACAGAAATTTTACTAGCAAAAAATACATTTTAACTATCCTGAACAATTCAATTATCAGAAATTTACCTAAGACACCTACATATGATTCTGACGTCATTTAGACTAGTCAGAATTGAATTGGAGTACACATATTTTAATTAACTTCTCCATCTCTGTGGGTGAGAGGCAGGGTACACCTTGGACAGGTCGCTAGTCCATCGCAGGAAGACGGAGACAAAAAGGACAAACAACCATTCACACACACAGAAGCCAATTAACCTGAGTTGAGTTTTTGGACTATCTACTGCCCCACTGACCAGCCCCTCTATGGATCAATGAGGGGAAAAAAAGAAAAGGTCTTCATAAATCTGCAGTTTTCCTCCATGAGAAGAAGCCAGATATAAATAAAAAGATTTTATTTGATCAGTTCGATCACTGGGCAGTTGCAACCCCCCCATCAATCAATAAATAAACAAATAAATAAAAACTAAAGCTGATTTCATGATAAAATGGCCTGCCATACTCCAAAACGTATTTGCACTGTTCTGATTGGACGACAGGGGTTTTTGCTACATGTAACCAATCAGTGAGCAGATAAGCGTCTATAAATACTCCCAATGCGTCGCACTCTGGTACATTCTATCCCTTCTCAAAGATAGAGCTTGATCATGTCTGGACGCGGAAAGACCGGAGGCAAAGCCAGGGCTAAGGCCAAGAGCCGCTCCTCCAGAGCAGGGCTGCAGTTCCCCGTTGGCCGAGTTCACAGGCTGCTGAGGAAAGGGAACTACGCTGAGCGCGTCGGTGCCGGGGCTCCTGTGTATCTGGCTGCGGTGCTGGAATATCTGACAGCTGAGATCCTGGAGTTGGCTGGAAATGCTGCCCGCGACAATAAGAAGACCAGGATCATCCCCCGCCACCTGCAGCTGGCTGTCCGCAACGACGAGGAGCTGAACAAGCTGCTCGGTGGAGTCACCATCGCTCAAGGAGGAGTTCTCCCCAACATCCAGGCGGTGCTGCTGCCCAAGAAAACCGAGAAACCCGCAAAGAAGTAAAGCTACGTCACCTAAAACCAACCAACGGCTCTTTTAAGAGCCACGCAAATATTCTCAAGAGCGGGATTCAATTAAAATTAAACTTTCGGTGCACTTGTTTCCAGAAAGTCATGTGACCGATACAGGAGTTAGGGCCATACTGAAAATTTAGTCTGTCAACATGATGAATCTGCTAAAAAATAAAGATTTTGCGGTTTCTGATGATTGGATGTAGCTGCTTGAAAGGAATAGGAACGCTTCAGCCTTTGCTTATTTTTATTTTTCTCGTGTATTTACCTAGTTATCACCCAACTTATCTGAATTAAGTTTAGTTCCTGTTTTTGCTGAACTTAAAATGATTTAAAATCCTAGTCCACAAACATTTAAATTTCCCCCTAAATTTTCACCTTACAATTACATTATTTGACTGCATCTAAAAATATCAAATATTCTCAATTTATATTGAAAATGAAAACGATACAATATAACCTATAACTTAAATTATATTGTACTAGGTCATCAAATCAATTCAGTCTAGTCTGTAAATTAAGCTGCCTGTAATGTCTTTAAATGTCCAGCAGGTGTCGGAGTTCTGCGAGACGGCACCAACGCAGCATCAATACACTTTCAAAGGTGTAATCAGTCGCCTTTTTTGCACTTAAAGGAATAGTACACCCAAAACATGATTAGCCTTCATTTTCTACTCACCCCCATGCTGAACAACACTCTGGACTACTTTTTTGATATCTCAAATGCATCTGGAGATCTGGGAGGCTTCTTGCTGTCTGCTGACATTCAAATAATGGAGGTCTATGGCGCCCGAGGCAGAAAGGTCCATAAAAGTCCACAAAAAACGTGTCAATATTCCTCCATACTGCTCGTCCAATGTATTCCAAGTGTCCTGAGTGGGTAGCGTCCATAATTTACTCGAAACGAAGTCATTTAGAATGTTTTAGAGCATAAACAGTAGTGTATAGGATTTCCTGAAAGCGCGTTCACGAGTCTACGGAAACCGCGGCAGACCAAACCAGATGAAAGTACTTAAGAAACATTTCTGAGTACTTTTTCCACCACTGTCTGAATTATGAAAAAGCCCCCTATTGCTGTCACTGAGCTGTCCAAACATTTGCCTGCAGGATTTTGGGTTGCTGCAATGGTGCTGGCTGTTCTTGACAAAAATGTTTGAAAATGCCATAATGTAGAAAAAATTCAGCACTATGTGATGTGCAGAGAACGAAAACTTCATGTATCCGAAGACTACTTCAGAAATCTGCATTGGATTATCCTGAAAAATTTGCTCATTTACGTCAACAAATTATGACCAGCTGAAGCGAATCCGATGGTAAATCCTGCAACTGGATGACATAAATGAGCCCGTTTTCATTTTTAAGCTTTTTTATAGTTTAAAATACTTTTTTTCTTAAAATTTTGATTTTTCTTCAAAGCTTCATGGTTATATGAACCACTGATCCTAAATCTGTGTGTCATTTATCTACTAGACTTCTACATTTTTACTTCAATAGCTTCACAGGCATGTGATGCTATATATTAAAAAACAGAATGGTGACATGTGAGGCAAATAAATGTGAGCATAATTTAACACTATTTCGTGCTTTATCTGGTTAATCAAGCAGCTGACATCAACAGTGTGAGATTTATTAAGCATTGCCCGACAGAATAAGCTGATATTTCTCTCCAGGATGGAGTCGCAGCCAAACAGCAACAGACCAGATGAAGCTACTATGAGTGTTACTCCTCTCAAGATTATCAAGGCTCAATGCGTTCTTTTGGTTTTTACACCCATTTATTTTGGACATATCTTACAAAGCCCCCAAATTAGCTCAAAACAAATATAAAAGTTTACACAAATAAAGACAAAACATTAAAATCGTACCTCATTGGCAGCATAAACTCCAGAGGAATAAAGATTTCTACACCTTTCTGCTGAAACTTCTTGAAAAAACAGTCCCTTATGATTGAATGTTTTATTGTAATACTTTTATGTAACTCCTGTTTTTAACTAATTAAAATAATTAAAGGAGTTGACTCGAATGGCAGCTACAATGAGAAAAACAGAGCATAACAGAGATTGAACTAATAGATTCTGCAAAGTGGGAGAATAGAAGGATGAAAAAGAAATACCTATGTCCTCCAGCAGTTTAAGCCTATAGCAGCATAACTAGAGATAATTTTACTCCATGAATTTAATGGTTTCACACCATTTTAATTTTATACCACCAGCTCATATTATACTCGTTAATGTTTGCAATATCACCTATATGAACTCGTAATCGAGTGCGATCAGTGCTCTTTTAAGGTAGTGAGTGGCTCTTAAAAGAGCCGTTGGGTGTACATGTACCTAAAGCTACTTTTAACATTCCTAAGAAATATATGAAGTCTAAAAATGGAACATTAAACGAGTGTGTAGCCTAATAGAGCAATTTCACACAGATTTTGGATCAGTGGTTCACCTAACATGAGCTATAGAGGAAAGATACATAATCTTTAAAAATACTTATAGAAAAAGACTAAATTAAAAAGGGTGTGCCTCATTTATATAATCTAGTAGCATGATTACCCTTGGATTTGTCTCATTTGGTCATAAAACCAGGGATATTTTCTTTTTTGTTCAGTTTAGGAACTTGTTTGACAGTCCCCAAAACAACCTCAGTGAAAAGAGGGTGAAGTTTAGGTGGCATTTTCACCAGACATCTAAAATTATCATTCAGGACAATCAAAATGTAGTTTTCCCTTGTTAAAAACTTCTATGATACAGCATGCGAAGGATTTTAAGTAAAAAAGGATGTTCCTCATTTATGTAATATAGTAGCAAGTTTAACCATTGGATTTGTTACAATTGGACACAGGACAAGGGGTACATATTGACAACTTAAAAATGACGGATAGTCAGAAGTTGATTTTTATGATAAAACAGTCTGCGATAGCTTTCCTTTCTAACCGAACCGTCACCATTTACTGCATGTATTAGTTTAACGGTTAGCAAAGATGAAAACAATAGAGGAAGTAGGATCATAGCTCTTTAGAGGCAGTGGGTGGCTCTTAAAAGAGCCGTTGGGTTGTTGTAATGTTGGTTTTGCAGTTTACTTGGAGCTGGTGTACTTGGTGACAGCCTTGGTGCCCTCAGACACGGCGTGCTTGGCCAGCTCCCCGGGCAGCAGGAGGCGCACGGCGGTCTGGATCTCCCTGGAGGTGATGGTGGAGCGCTTGTTGTAGTGAGCCAGACGAGAAGCCTCTGAGGCGATGCGCTCAAAGATGTCACTGACGAAGGAGTTCATGATGCTCATGGCCTTGGAAGAGATGCCGGTGTCAGGATGGACCTGCTTCAGCACCTTGTACACGTAGATGGCGTAGCTCTCCTTCCTGCTCTTTCTCCTCTTCTTTCCTCCTTTGCCGGCCGTCTTGGTCACGGCTTTCTTGGAGCCCTTCTTGGGCGCAGACTTGGCGGGTTCAGGCATGGTTCCTCACTCTTAGCAGAGAGCAATGATTTGATGCGAGCCAAACACTCCTCTATAAACACATTGAGTGTAAACTGAGCTGTACCGTTCCCTGGCTGTGATTGGCTGAGCTGCCCACAAGGTTTACCGGAGGAGGCGGAGCTTCACATGGGTTTGAAAATTCCCGCCCGATCTGTTTAGCAGCGACACAAAAGGCGCCACATCCTCAGAGCCCAAACAAAGAAAAACAGCGTTTAATTGTGTTTATTTGGGGACTGATTGAATAAAAACAGAAACAAATCTAAATCCATCAGAGGCTTCATTGAGACTAAAACCTGAATGTTGCTCATTTAGGTAGGAGCCATTAAATATAACTCTGGCTCCACATTTCTTCTGGAGTTTAAGGATGTTTTTCCAAGCAGGTTTCTAACAGGAACATTTGGAAATGAGAGCATAGAGAGAATAAATGTTAACAGAGAGCTTTGTCACTACATCCAGATGATCCTAGAGTTAGACCACTGTTACCATGATATGGCTGGAGCCACTGATGTCTCCAACAGTTCAGCAATCTGCCATCAGACCACTGAACTGTTGGAAAAACTAAATCATGTCCCTCTGCATCAGACCCACACCAAACCAACACCGCAAAACTGAATCATATAAATTTAATGCTCTGATCTTACATATCAATGCACAGCATGTTTTTTATTCTCCCACCGTTTACATTTGATCACTGCTGCACCTCTAGAATGAAAATATGAGAGCTGTACAAAACGAAATGCGTCACATTTACAAACATCTGGATGATGTCATGAAGTGATAATGTGGCCTTTTATTTGGGCAAAACTTCCAGACCAAACAAACCTGATGGTACCATTGTATAAACTAAACCATTTCTCTGGTCATTTATCTCTGCTATTTAATACATATGCATTTTGAAGTATTATTTAAAAAGATTTTTCCTCAGGAAAGAAGCAAGCAGTAAAAGCATGCAGGTGTGAAAAATTTTCCTTTGCATTGTTAATGTTTTAATTCAAGGGTGGGGACGCTCTAATGATAGCGGCTGATGGACCTACAGCTGCTCAACCTGAACGCTTTCTATAGGGTTTATATTTTACAAAAATGAGCTCAAACATATATTTATTGAATGCTTTATTATTGTTGAGAACACACTAGTACCACAATACATTTGTGGTATTTATAGTTAGAGACAGATGCCTGCCTTTAGTGCATTATTTTTTTAAAGGGCTCAAAAACATTAATGTATAAAAAATTAACAGCTGATGCCAACATCAATGGACACAACTTCACTTCCATTCATCCATGCATGGCTTCCCTTTAAGCTGCATCAGTGATTCTCGTCCTTCACAAGCAGCAAAATCAAATGTAGAAATTTGTCCCATATGTCATTGACATCCTATTGAACCTTATATTTAAAAAATCATTCATACACTGATTTTTATTATTTGTGCTTTAATTCTTACAGGTTTCTTATATGTGAGTCTGGCTGTCTCTGGGTTGCAGCTATTTCTGAGTCTCGTTGAACTATAAAAGACAAAAGATATGTTGTCGCTGCTATGCTTAAAAACAGATTTATGAACCAGTCTACCAATATAATGATGCCAGAGAAAATCATTTTCAGGATCTCTAGAAGCTCTGCAGCCTGATTCTCTGTTCATCAGAAAACAACAGATATTTGTTCATTTTAACTCTGAGTAACGTTCCTCTGAGAAGCCCAATTTTTTAACTCATAAATGTTCACTCTGTTGCCATTTTAAGCTAAAAAAGGTCCATATGTGTAACTAACGGATTTTTCGGTGGCATCTC